TCTGACCATGTCAGAATCTCTACAGGTGGCCACTGCTATTCACAAGCTACCTCCTTAGTGGAAGGCTTTCAAAAGCTATTTGCAGTATAAGAGGAAAGAGATATCTTTCGAGGATTTAATTATCAAGCTGCGCATTAAGGAGGATAACAAACGGGCTAAATGTAAGTCAGAGAATTCTTACTCTGAGACGGCTAATGTATTGGAGTACAGCCAAAGTTTTGGTACTAAGAAAGTTCACTTCTTTACATTCAAACCGAATAAGGGAAATCGAAAAGAAAAAAAAAAAAAAAAAAAAAAAAGGCTACGAAAGTGTCTCAGTTGATGCCCGCAGGTGGGGTAGGAATGAAACCTAAGTTCCAATTCAATGGAAAGTGCTTCAATTGTGACAAAGTTGGGCATCGATTAGCAGACTATCGTCAGCCTCGGAGGGATAATAAGCAACGTCCTCAGGCTAATATGGTTGTAAATGAGAGAGATCATCTCTCAGATGAAATGTCTAAGCTAAACCTCACGACGGTGATTAGTGAGGTTAACCTGGTGGAGTCTAACCCAAAAGAGTGGTGGCTGGACACTGGGGCCACTTGCCATGTCTGCTCCAACAAGAGCATGTTCACTACTTTTGCACCAGTTACAAATGGTGAAAAGTTGTTCATGGAAAACTCTGCAACTTCTGAAGTGCTTGGTAAAGGCAAGGTGATCCTGAAGATGACATCTGGCAAAGAGCTTACTTTGACTAATGTGTTGTACGTGCCAGAAATTGGCAAGAATCTGGTCTCTGGGTCTCTTCTGAGCAAGAATGGGTTCCGCATAGTCTTTGAGGCGGATAAGCTGGTGATTACCAAAATAGGAGTTTATGTTGGAAAAGGTTATATGACTGATGGCCTGTTTAAGTTGAATGTAATTGTTGTAACCCCAACTGTTATGAGTAATGAGAAAACTCGTTCTGTTTACTTGCTTGAGTCTCCTAATCTGTGGCATGGTAGATTAGGTCACGTAAATTACAATGCTTTACGTAGATTAAGCAAACTAAATTATTTGCCTTCGTTTCAAATTGATTCAAATCATAAATGTGAAACATGCGTTGAATCTAAGCTTACTAGGTCTCCGTTTCATAGTATTGAAAGAAGTATCGAGCCATTGGGACTAGTCCACGGTGATGTATGTGACTTGAAATCTGTCCAAACACGAGGCGGTAATAAGTATTTTATTACTTTTGTCGACGATAGCACGAGATATTGTTATGTGTACTTGCTTAAAAGTAAAGACGAAACTATCGATAAATTCATTCTTTATAATAATGAAGTTGAAAATCAACTTAGTAAGAAAATAAAGGTGCTACGGAGTGATCATGGTGGTGAATATGAATCACTGTTTGGTGAATTTTGTGCTAAACATGGAATAATTCACCAAACTACTGCACCTTATTCACCTCAGCAAAACGAAATTGCTGAGCGTAAGAATAGAACTTTAAAGGAAACGATAAATGCTATGTTGATTAGTTCTGGATTACCACAGAACATGTGGGGAGAAGCTATTCTTTCCGCAAATTACATCTTGAATAATGTGTTAAGAAAAAATATGGATAAGACTTCGTATGAACTTTGGACAAATCGAACACCTTCATATAAATACTTACGAATGTGGGGGTGTCTTGCTAAAGTTGTGGTGCCTCCTCCTAAAAAGGTCAAGATTGGACTTAAGACAGTTGATTGTGTGTTCATTGGTTAAGCATAAAATAGTATTGCTTATAAGTTCATTGTGCATTATTCGAATGTACATGATATTCATCCGAACACGATTATGGAGTCTAGGAATGCACAATTCTTTGAGAATATATTTCCTTGTAAGTCTCCTGAACAGTTAACTCCTATTAAACGGACAATGGAATCTTATGCTTCTGGCAGCAGTAAAGATCCAGTTGAAGAAGGTGAGGACGAGACTAGACGGAGCAAAATGACCAAAACTTCTAAGACGTTTGGCCCTGATTTTCTCACATATTTGATGGAGAATGATCCTCAAAGCTATAAAGAAGCTATATCTTCTCCAGATGGTCATTTGTGGAAAGAAACCATCAAAAGTGAAATCGATTCCATTCTACAAAATCATACCTGGGAGTTAGTAGATCTTCCACCGGGCTGTAAGCCTTTGGGTTACAAGTGGATCTTCAAGAAGAAGATAAAAGCGGACAGCTCCATTGATAAATATAAAGCTCGGCTAGTAATCAAATGTTATAAGCAAAAGAAAGGCTTAGATTATTTTGATACTTATTCTCCTGTTTTGAGAATAACTTCTATCCGGATGATAATTGCTATTGCGGCCTTGCGAAATCTGGAAATACATCAGATGGATGTAAAAACAGCTTTCCCAAATAGAGATTTGAATGAAGAAATATACATGGAGCAACCAGAGGGGTTTACAGCTCTAGATCAAGAAAGGAAAGTTTGTAGACTGGTTAAATCGATGTATGGTTTGAAGCAAGCATCGAAGCAATGACATGAGAAGTTTGATAATGCTATGCTTTCTAGTGGTTTTAGAATCAACGAGTGCGACAAGTGTGTATATATCAAGGACACTAATGATGGATATGTCATACTAGATCTATACGTCGATGACATGCTCATTGTCGGTAGCTCTGACAAGATTATCAAAGCCACTAAGAATATGTTATACTCGAAGTTTAACATGAAAGATATGGGTTTCGCGGATGTCATTTTGGGAGTAAAAATTACTCGAACGCCAAATGGACTTGTGTTATCTCAATCTCATTACATTGATAAGATGCTAGACAAGTTCAACAAATCAGATATCACTGTGGTCAGGACTCCAGTGGATTTGAGTCTCCACTTATCCAAGAACACTGGTGATGGTGTATCACAGTTAGAATATTCTAGGATAATTGGGAGTTTAATGTATTTAATGACTTGAACGAGATCGGATATAGCATACTCAGTTAGCAGATTGAGTCACTACACGAGTAGCCCAGATGCTATCCACTAGAAAGCCATTTTTAGGGTGCTACATTATTTAAGGCACACTCGTGATTTTGGACTGCACTATTCTAGATACCCTGCAGTAATCGAAGGGTATGCTGATACAAATTGGATATCAGATATGTCAGTTACCAAGTCTACTAGTGGATATGTCTTCACTCTTGGTGGTGCAGCCGTTTCTTGGAAATCGTCCAAACAAACTTGCATCGAAAGATCTACAATGGAATTAGAGTTCATCGCTTTGGACAAAGCAACTGAAGAAGTAGAGTGGCTTCGCTAGTTTGTTGAGGATATTCCAAGATGGTCAAAGCATGTGCCTACAATTTGTGTTTATTGTAATAATCAATCAACAATTGGCAGGGCACAGAGCAATATGTATAATGGTAAGTCTTGCCATATTCGAAGACGACACAATACCATTCAACAACTACTCTCACAAGATATTATCACTCTGGACTACGTGAAGTCAAAGGATAATATTGTAGATCCGCTAACCAAAGGGCTAACTCGAGAGCTAGTTGTAAAAGCATCGAGGGGAATGGGCTTACAGCCTATGACGTTGAAAGATATCATGGTGGAAACCCAACCTAGTTGAATGGAGATCCTAGGATCTAGGTTCAAAGGGATGACTAAAACATGTATATCTGTGTAAATCACTGAGAATGTTCTCCTTCTGCTCATTCCTATAGTGCTCACAGTGATTGGAAGATGCAGGTTAAGCTATGCTTTTAATGACCATTAAGCATTGTTGTGAAAAACTGAGTTAAGAGGTCACCTATGTAAGTGTGAAGTGGGGCCGCTTCTATAAGGATTGGCAAGGCTACATCCTTGAAAAACCACTTGCAAAACCAGGCGACGTGTTCATGGCCAAAATAAACACAACAGTAAGAACTATGCTGTGACTAGAATGGTCATGTGTGAGATCTATTGTATTGGTTTACACAAATGACGAAA